AGATAAATATTTTAAAATAGGTTTGTTAGATAGGGGAGATGGGGGCGCATTGATCGCCGGGGCAGTATGATCTTTTAGCTTTTACTCGTTTACTTTTGCCTTAATTTAACAGAGATTGCAATTTAATTAACTAATATACTACCCTTCGTTGCTTAATCGTAATAATTTTTGATAAGATCAACTTCAGCGTTAAGAAAATTGAAAAGACAGTTTTTCATTGTGAAAAGTGATTTTTGAAAGTTGTAAACAAATTCAAATAAATTTTTAATTAGATTTCCGTATGACTTTACAACCAATTTATTGTAAACTCATATGTGTTAAGTTTATAATAAAATTGTTTTTTAGAGTTGGTTACTGTATTTATAGAAGTTATTGGCATCAATATATCAACTGTACCTAATGGGGCACATTAAGCGTTGACTATGCGGGGCTCATTGATCGGAGGATCAAAGTGCCCCATATAACTTATATTATAAGACTTAAATTTTTGTTTAAATTTTATACATTTAAACTTATGACGAATAAAAAAAAATCGTTATATAAATTAAAAAATTTTTTTTTTTTAAATGTAATAGTGTTAAAAACTAATATTAATAACATTAGTTTTTAGTTTTACATAAGTTTTACAATTAGTTTACATAATATTATTATATATATATTTTTTTTTTAAACAATCATTTTATTTTACTTTTTTTTTTAATTTTCAGGTCTTTAAATGGTTACGTATAGAAAAAAAAAACAGACAGAGCTATTTCGTGTGATACAATGAAAGCAGCTGTTAATGAAGTTTTAGAGAGCATACCAGTGAATGTTGTAGCTTGCAAGTTTAGCATAAATCGAATGATTTTAAAAAGATATTGTAATAAAAAGAAACTCTATCCAAATGAATCTTTTAAGCCTAATTACAACAATAACCAAGTTTTTACTGCAAAAGATGAAAAAAGTTTGTCAAGTTATTTACTACTTGCATCAAAAATGAACTATGGACTTTCAACTAAGTCAACACGATTATTGGTATACGAGTTCGCTGTAAAAAATCATAAGATCTGCCCTTTATCATGGATCAAGAATAAAATTGTAGGGATTGATTGTTTGCAAGGTTTTATGAAAAGACAACCAGAGTTGTCTTTACGAACACCTGAAGCAACTAGCTTTGCTCGATCAACTGCCTTTAACCAACACACTGCAGGAGAAATCTAAAAACAGTAAGAAATCGATATAAGTTTGATCCTTATTGCATATATAATGTTGATGAAACTGGTTTAACAACGGTACAAAAGCCAGTAAAAGTGTTAGCAGGTAAAGGAATTAAACAAGTAGAAAGAATCACATCTGCAGAACGAGGAACATTAGTAACTGTATGTTGTGCTTCAAATGCAATTGGAAACTCTATTCCTCCACTATTTGTTTTTCCTAGCGTCAAATTTCATGATTACGTGATAAAGGAAGATCCTCCTGGATGCGTTGGATTTGCAAATCCTTCTGGTTCGATGAATTCAGACATTTTTATAGAATGGATAAAACATTTTGTGAGGTATTCAAACTTTTCTCATGAATCTCCAGTTTTGTTACTTCTGGACAGCCATAAAAGTCATATTTCTGTTAAAGCTTTGGATCTTGCAATTCAAGATGGAATTACAATGCTAAGTTTTCCTCCCTATTGTACCCATAAATTGCAACCATTGGCTAGGACTGTTTTTGGACCATTGAAAAGGTTTTAGAATGCTGCGTGTGATAATTGGATGGTCGCAAATCCGAGACCAATGACCATTTATGATATTGTTTCAATATCATTAATGGTCAGTTCGCGAACCATATACAAAAGCTTTCTCACCATCTAATATACAGAGAGAATTTCAAGTAGCTGGCATTGAGCCATTTAATCCAGAAATTTTAAAAGATAATGAATATTTACCATCATCAGTTACAGATTGTGCTGCTCCAAATGTGTAAACACTATTCTTGTGAAACCTGAAATGACTGTAGTACATCATGAAACAAGTTTTTCAAACAAAGTGTCACCAAGCATTGCTTCATTATAATGAGAGTATACTCTCACCTGAAGTTTTGAAACCTTACCCGAAAGCATCTGCTAGAAAAAGAAGTGTTAAAAGTAGGCAATTAAAAACAAGGATTTTGACTGATACTCTAATCAAAAATGAAATTCGTTTGTCAAAAGAAAAGAAAACCTTAAAACAAATCAACCAACAAAAGAAACTCATCGCAAAAATAAAAAAAGGGCAGAAGTTAAAAACTACTTGCTTAGGAACAAAAAACAATGTAATGTAAAAACAGCATCACGACATGATTTGACAAAGGATATAAAAAAATAATCTTGTCAACTTTAGTTCTAATAAAAGTCTTGTATGAATCTTGTATTTTCTTTGTAAACTTAAAATACTGTATTCTTATAGACTTTATAAGCTTCAAGTTTTGTAAAACTTAACACATATGTTTTAAATTTTACTTTTTTTTAGATGTATTATATAATATTCACTAATACTCTTCAACTAATGCATTTGTAGCACTTTTGTATAGCAGTATTAAAAATGCAAATAATGTTATTCATATAAAATCAAAGCGCCCCATATCGGAGATTATAGTACCCCATTGCATGGGGTACATTGATCTTTTGCAAGGGTTGTTGCAATGTTGAAGTATACCATGTTCATCAAATTTTTTTATTAAAACATTTATTTTACTTAAAGACAGATTGTTTTAGTTTAGTTTAGTAATTTTTTATATTTATTTTATACATATTTTATATATAAAGCTTTTATATCTAGATCAGATTGTTCGCAGTTTTCAAAAACTGCAACGGCGATCAATGCGCCCCTATCTCCCCTACTAATTAAAAGTTATTATCTTTTTAACTGTCCATCTGTAGTTTGTTATGAGGTGGTCGTATATTGGATCAGAAAATTAAATAACTACTAATACAAACTACACTGTTTTTTATATTCTAATTATATATAAACATATTGCCTCTCTTAAACATCTTTCGTATACTCAAAGAATATTAAGCCGTAACCTGACAACACTAACTGAACGACGAGAAAAAGGAGATCTTATCAAACAATTTAATCATGACCAAAATTGATAATGTTAACTTTTACGTCCCTCAACTTCAACCTAACACAAAATCTTCAAAGTACAGTTTTCGGCCTGGTGGACACACTAAAGAACTAAGAGCACAACTTGTCCGAAACTGCGCTGAAAGAAGCAACTTCTTCACCAACCGTATTGTAAGATAATGGAATTCTTTAACCCAAAATGCGGTGGACGCAAAGAACTTAAACAATTTTAAACACGAACTTTCTCTGCTACGGCATCTTCACTTAAGCTGAAATTGAAAAACTGTATCTTCATAACAGAAAGGCCTGGTGTGCCGCTCTTTGTCAAAAAAAAAATTTGTAAATTTATTTTTGACCATGAATGATTAAACTAAACCAAACCAAATTAGAATATATTTTTAACATAATAAAGTTAGTTTTATTTAATAGATGACCAGATGGTCAAATACTGAAACTTTTGAATCCATTTTTTTTTTTTTTTTTTTTGCATTATTTTAGATTCATTATGCCTGCCATAAAAAACCAATTTCAAAAGTCAGAAAAAGCAAGGAAGGAAGCCATCGAAGAGATAAGAAATAATAATACACCATTCCGGACAGCAGCTAAAATATATGGTATACCAAAAATTACTCTAAAATATAAATTGGAAGACAAATAACCAATTGGTAGCAAAATTAAACTTCAAACCGTTCTAAGCTATATAGAGGAAATAGTTATTGCTAACTGGGTCATAAAAATGGCCAGGGTTCACTAAAACAGCTTCAAAATTACAACGGTTGGTGACTAATCTTAGTAGAGACACTCTTTTACTAACAATTTTCCTGGGAGGACAGTTCACAGATTTTAATGAAGAAATAAAAATATATCTAAACGTATAAGCCAAAACTTAACAGTTTCCAATGCATCAGTGACACATGACAATATTTCACGGAGGTTCATGAAAATTAAGAAAAACCTTAAAAAAAAAATTACAAAAAAAAAACAAGTTTTGATGGATCCCTAACAATTCTTTAATTGCAATGAAGCCGCCTTTTTTCTTAACCCAAAAGAAACTAAAGTCTTTGCAAGAAATAGAGATGGATGATATATCAACAAGTTAATTCAGATGAAAAGGAGTGTCTCATAGTGTTAATTTCTAGCAATGCCAATGGTAGTTTTGTAACTCCATTAGCGATCTACAAATATGAGTGCCATCTATTAGAAAACAACGCTTAATATTTTTTCCAGGGCACTTGGGCAAAAGTGATTTTATTAAAATGCAGTTGGAACTATTTTATGAATTCATGGCAAACTTTTCTTACCCTTGACTTAACGTAAATAATATTACGCTTCTTGTTATTTTATTTCTTGATGAACATGTTTCCCATTTAAGTATGCAAACAAGTTAGTTATACAACCAAAATGGGGTTTTTTGGGTGGCTTTATATTCTAATGTTCTGCACATTTTACAGCCAATAGATGTTACAGTTTTTTTTTCACATTAAAAGAAAATCGGAAGCAATATGTTTATGAGTAGCGCAGCAATCATCATGACAACCGCATCTTAAAAAAAAAAGATTTTGCTAAACTACTAAAAGAAAAAGTGAATAAGCAATGCTACTCATTTTGTGTTGGTCAACGGTTTCCGCAATTGTGGAATCTATCCCAGAGATTCAATAATAACAATAACAGAAATGAGCGCTTTGTCGTCATTACATTTGTAATAAAAAATTTTCTTTGTTGACATAATAATTAAAATATAAAAATTAAAATTTTAAAAATTGTTAATCTTTGTTGTGTTATTAACGTTGTGTTGTGTTTCGACCTTGACGTCTTTGTTGCGTTCTCGATGTGGATCATAACTTATACCAGAAATGAAAGCCTATTCAACATTTCGTTTTTCTATAAAATGTTGCATTTGTGTTGCACCACTTAAAAAATATTCAATAGGTCTGTTGTATTTACTGAAATAAAATTAAAAAATTTTTACAGCTTTCATTTTCACTCATTGAACATATGGTCAACTACTAAAGCAAAGGACTGTAAAATACTGATAAAAATATTTTTTAGATGGTCAATTACTAACGTAAAACCATGCTTTAAAAAAACAGCGACTAAAATAAGAACAGTCGTGGCTTTAAAAATCCTTTAAAAAAAACAGCTACTAAAACATTAGCAGCCGTGGCGCAGTGGTTAGCTCTAGCTCAACAAGCGGCATTGGTGCGAAAGGGGACGTGAACTTCCAGTTAAATGCTCTCCCGCGGTGCTCCGTGATAAGACTGTTAAGACTTCTGGGAGCAATTAAATAACCTAAAATAAAAAAAATAAATAAAAAAACAGTCAACTACTAGATCGTCAATTACAAACGTAAAACCATGCTTTTAAAAAAACAGCTCTAAAACATGAACACTATGCAATAAGATAGTATGGTAAGATGTTAGAATGAAAACTGTTAGCAAGACTATGTAATTGGTAAACAATCTTAAAGATGCGACAGTCATACGGAATTTTTTTTCTCTTAAACTGTCAATTGGTGGCACCGTTACCTTAATTAGTTTAATTCTTATTTATAAATTTAACTAATTAAATTTTATTAATTAAATTAGTTTAATTTTAGTTTAAATAATTTAACTTTATTTTCTATGTTTTAATTATAAAAACTTAATTAAATTCTAACTAAGTTTTTAATTTCGAATGTGATAGTAATATTTTTATTTTATATTTGAAAAATAAAATATTTCTAATAAAAACTAAAAAAATGGTAATACTCCGCTTACGTCGGTCAAAAATTAATAATATAATAATCAATACTCATTCCATTATTATGTAATAGTTTCATTTATTCTTTCATATGTAAGTTGGTTTTCCCCTCGTTTTTATTGTTTATTTAATAAGAAAGCACTTTCTAAATTTTTGTTTTTATTATTGATTAGGCAAAACTTAACGACAATCCATATTTGGCAACCAACTTTAGTAATCCAATTAAATATAGCTTCTTGTAAAAACAAATTTAAGAAGTAAATATTTTATAACATTTTTTTTTTACCTTAACTATTTGTGTGCACTTTAAATTTTAAAAACCTAACCGCAGTGTGTAAAGAAAAAATATTATAACGTGTTGCATTGATTACTGTGTTACTATAGGTACTTATTAATATTTTAAAAGACGCATTATTCGCGTTTTGAATGATAAATTAAATAAAAACATTAATTATAAAAGGTTTGAAATTTAATTATTTAACAAACAATTCAGTTTTTTTAATTCATTTTAGAACCGCGTAAAATATTTAAGGCTAATATCTATTATTTCATGTCATGGATTTCTTAGCAAATTAAAGAAACTGCTAACGAAAAGTCCACTAAAACAAATTTGAATTGTTAAATATTTATAAATGGATTCACAGCAGAAAAACGAATCACTTTCCTAATTATAAACAAAGTGCTTACACAAATTTAAAAAATAATAGCTGAGAAATAATGAGAAATAAATTGAAAAAAAAAAATTAATGAGACTAATACTTTTACGAGTATTAAAAATATTTACTAACGATATTAGTTTGTTTAAGATAACGGAGCAATCGATAGGAGCATATCAAAACAAATGAATGAAAAATATTTAATTTATATATTTATTAACAAAATTATTAATTTAAAACTAATGTAAATACGTGGAACTCGTTGATAAGACAACATTTCTTCTTACTTTTAAATGAAAGATGTTGTTGTCATGGCAAGCCACTGAATTACTCAGTATTTATATCACTTTTTTTGTTTATTTTTATCAAGTTTAAAATAAATATAAATAAAGACTTAATTTCACTAATACTTGTTAAATCTATTTAATTTGTTGCTTAGTTATCTGCTGCAAACTTAAAAAAAAAACAAGTATAACATATAAGGCCGGCACGAAGGCATGTTACACTTGTAAGGCTATATATGTTATACAACCTCCCCTCACCTCCATCTTTTTTAAAGAATTTTTCGTTCATTTACTCAACAAAGTTGACTCTTTTAGACGGGTCAGCCAGTAGCTGTAACGGCGGACCTCTCTTTCTCACTATATATATATATATATATATATATATATATATATATATATATATATATATATATATATATATATATATATATATATATATATATATATATATATATATATAAATGTATATATATATATATATGTATATATATATATATATATATATATATATATATATATATATATATATATATATATATATATATATATATATATATATATATATATATATATATATATATATATATATATATATATATATAAATTCGCCGCTAAAGAATATTTACAATTACAAAGTACATGAATAGAAGGTTTAGATTACCGGGGCAAAAAGAAGACTGTAGTTATTTTATCACTACGTCACAAAATTTGATAACCAATCCGACGCTAATATATAACCAATCCAGCGCTTTTATACAACCATACACACACTTGCATTAGTATACATATAAACAAGAACTACAATTATTAAACATTTCGAAAACTTGAAGTTTATATAGCAACCGTTTTACAATCTAACTTTCTGGGCTCTACTCAATGCAAAATTTACAATGACTATCAGAGTTTTTGGCAAGATCATAAGACTTAAGATTTTGATAAGACTTAAAAAGAGTTTGCATAAGCTTCATCTCATCATATAAATTTTCTGATTGAAATAAGACACTGACAAAGTTTATTACTTGAAGAGCTTCAAATCAAAAGGTTGTTAAGCTGATGAATTTAAATGACTAAATCCATTCACCAGATATTTTATTTCATTTAATTGATCTGCATTTAGACCAAGATTACAAAGTTTTTGTAAAGATACAAAGGATCTGCATAGCATGTTGAGGTTTTTCTAAATTAGTAGCTTCTACTCTTTTATACAAATTTGAGCAATGCTGTGTTGTTGCAATACTGAACTGCTGGTATCTAATAAGAAGTAAACTAATTAAGTAACCAAATACTTTGTACTTTGGAAAAAGTAGGTTAACAAACAAATTCTTAATGCCTAAATTAAGAATTTAAATTGAACAACTTTTTATTAAAATAGTAATATCTTTGCAAGAATGAGGAAAATATATGATGACGTCATCTGCACAAAAAAAAAATAAGTTTAATGGTTCATGAAAAAGCCCTGAGGTAATTGCAATTGTTTTTTTTTAATAATTACAATAATTGAAGTTGGGCATAAAAGATCAAACAGAAATTGTTAATTGCTAGACTATTGTGAGGGGAGTATTTTTTTTTATATTTTGAAATAAATCCAATACATTATTAGAACTTAAATTTCATCAAAAAATGTCTTGGTTATGAAATGGTGACCATATCAAAATTGAAGCCTCCTTAATTAGGAAAGGAGTTGCTTAAGTCGAAATTATTTGGCTTAGATAAAATTAAAAGGTTTTTAAACTTGGCATAGATGATACATGTATATTCATACCACCAAAGGATTTTTTTGGGAGTTGTCGAAATCATTAAACTGGATTTTTACACACTGTGCATAACATTAATTATTACTTATCGTAGTTAAGTAGTTAAACGTTTTATTGATTATTACTGGAACAGTGTATTGTTTAATATTAAAACGAAGTATTATTACTTAAACTAATTAGTGACATCATTCTGTTTATTCAGAAGAAAGAATTTTGACTAACGAAATTCGTAATCATCTTTCTTTAAAAAATTGAAACTTTTTAGTAACTTTTATTATTTAAAAAAGTTTTACAAAACACGCTGTTCTTCACAACAAATATATCTGATTTACTTTAAAATTTTTAACTTGACTTTAGAATTTTTTATTGAAAAATGAAAAGCTTTTGAAACGATTAACTGATAAAAAAAAAAAAAAAAAATTCTATACCATTATTCGAAAGAAAACTTTTCATATAACTTTTCAAAAGAGTTTTATTTTTTACATTTAATCAATAAAAAAACATTTGAAAGAGTTAATTTGGTACATAACTTTAATACAATTAACTGTATAATATATTAGAACTACAGAATAAAATTACAAGAATAACTAAATTAAGAATAGCTAAACTACAGAATAACTGGTCAAACTTAATGTATTTCAAAAGTTATTTAACTAATTAGTTTAGATTAGTGAAAATTATTATCTAAATAGTTAGATATTATATTTTGGTATACGATTTTATTTATATATATATATATATATATATATATATATATATATATATATATATATATATATATATATATATATATATATATATATATACGTATGCTCCAAACGTGAGAGTAACAAGTTGATAAAATATTTTTTTTTACTATTCTCATTTCGATTTATATTCATCAATAAATTTTAAACTTCATATGATAATCTTTTAGCGTTCAAAAATTATGACTATAAAAAATTTGAACCCCCTTAATTTGAGGGGGCTACATAATTATTGAACGTTAATAGATGATTGTATGAAATTTATAATTTATCGATGAATATAAATTAAGCTGAGAATAATAAAAAAATATTTTATCAATTTGTAACTCTGCAAATAAAATTTATAACAACAAATTCAGCTTTAGGTTTCTCATTAATTCATATTTATAAAAATTATTTTGTGTTTATTTACAAGATGTTGCAAAAAATATTTCACAACAAAAAAAACATGACGTCAATTTTTAACATCTCAAAAAAAAAGAAAAAAATTAGTCAAACTTTAAATAAAAAAAATGCAACACAAATAAATAAATAAAGAGTTCACAATATTAATATAAATAATCATTTATTAAAAAATGAACGCTTTTTTAAATAATTTAAACGGCATTCAAACTGAAGGAAGCATTTATTTAACATAAAAATGCTTGTCAAATTCATTTCACTTTACATTTCCTCATTTAAAAAGCTTTTTTGTCGTAACATTGTTCCCAACTAATTATAAAAGCAGAATTATTCAATGAGACACGAACTTCGATTTATTTTAAACAGCGAGGAAGCTCATTAATAATTGAGCTATAAACACGTGGCAATTTATATAAAGCGCAAATTAGTAATAAGAGGGAAAATAAAAACGATAAGTAAATCTAAAAAAACGATAAAACTTTTAGTGCACTTTTTTTAGAAAAAAAAAAAAAAAAAAAAAAAAAACGCGAGAGAAAGAAAAAAAAACGCGAGATAAAATATTAAAATTATAACGCAACTATGTGTTTGTAAATCAAACAAAAAAAAAGCCAAATAAAAATAGGTGTGAGAAAGTAACGTTGATGACGTCATGCAATCTAGCTTAAAAATCCAGATATATCCGGTACTAACTGATCGCTTTTTTTACGATCAAGTCTAGTCTGACTAATATTTTCAGTGCCAGTTTCAAACCAAGGATGTTCTAAAAGCTCCTCGGCAGTAAGTCTTTCTAAAGGGTTTTTTCTTAAGATCGAGTGAATAAGACATCGACTTTTTGGAGATATTGGTTCACATATCATGTAAACGCCATGTTTTATTTTATTGAACAAGACTACGGGATCTTGATCGTGAAAAGGATATCTTCCACAGAGCATGGTATATAACATTACTCCGAGGCTCCAGATGTCAGCAGCTTTCGAAGAGTAACCGTTACTAGATTCGAGTATTTCTGGACTTACGTAAGCTGGACAGCCATGTTTATCAAATAGTATATCGGAGTTGTTGATAATTATATGAGCATCATCTAATGTTTCCAACATAAGTTGTGTCCTAAAGAAAAAATTTACCAAATAATAAATTTTTTTACGAACTTCCAGTCAAAAAACTCCAGAAAGAAAAATTTAAGTCTATAAAAGTTCTTTTCTTTAAACGTTCAACTTTAAAACCCTGTATTTATTAAGGCAGCTTAATAGAAGAAAACTTTTTATCAGTAAATGACAGTAAAACACTTTATTATATAATACAAATTAGGACATACCTGAATCTATAAGTTGTTTTTTTTTCGAGTACATAAAGAGTCTTTTAAAGATATAGTAATAGGTCTGATAATTGTATTTATAGTTATTAAAAAGTATATAGTAATGTTTTATTTTTTTCTTTAAATCGTCTGAATATTTTTAACTATTTTTTGCGTGACGCAAAATCTAAAACAAATTAAAAATACGAAGTTGCTTTTTCGTCATAAGAGAAACATTTTGTGAAGGTAAAACAAATTTTATATCCTGATTAAACACGCCTTTAAAATTTCTATCATTTATTATTTTCAGCAAACCTTTTGCATCAATTAAAATTTTACTCGGAAAGGTTTTTTCATTTCATTTAAAATTCATTTAAAATGGAATAAAGGTATGAATGAATTTCATTCGACGTTAAATCTGTTTTTTTATTTATTTTTTTATTTATTATAAATGTATACTTTTTGGTTTGTGTTGTTGCAGTTTCATTGTGATTTAAAAATAACGATTAAAAAGAAATGTGTTAATGCACATTTATGTGCTTCCTTTTTTACAAATAAAAAACTGTTTTCATTTTACTCAATAATTTTCGAGGTAATAAAAATATTGAAAGTACACCCTCCTTCGAACTGAACCAAAATAGTTTTTTGTTGCAAGCAAGGTTTGAAAAATTTCAATTAAAAAAATTAATAAGTTTTTTTTTTTAACCACTTAAGCAAAGATAAATGCGTTTCTTTTTTATCAAAAACGCTACATGCCAAAGAAAAAGCGAATATATATATATATATATATATATATATATATATATATATATATATATATATATATATATATATATATATATATATATATATATATATATATATATATAAATGCTTTATAAATAAGGTAAATTAATCTTGATCGTTTAAAAGATTTGCATTATAGCAAATAGATTAAAATGTCACAAAAGAAATAAAAAAAAGTTAAACAAAACTCGCTAACCTTTCAATATCTTTGAAAACAAACTTTCGAAGTTTTAAATCTCTTAAAGCGAGACCGATCGAGTGGCAATGTTTAACAACATTAGCTATTTGTTTAAATAAACGATGCGTTTCTTCCTCTTTGAGTTTTTTTTTAAGTCTTATATACGAATGGAGATCACCAAATGATTTTTCGAACATAACATAAGCGTAACGCTCATTTATGACTACTTCATTAATTGTGTTTATATTTTCGTGCGATCCGACTATATAGTAAGGAGAAGAAAACTCTCGAAATTTATTAATTTGCACAATGCGACATGCGAACTCTTTTTGTTTGACCGTATTATAAGCCTTACAAAGACAATTTGATGGGTTGATCTCTGATAAAATATAATTTTCTACTTTTGTTGCTGTTATAATATTTGACTGTATATTGCTTAACTGAATTCCAATTCTTTCTTGATTTTGAACCGAGCGACTACTTGTATAATGTTTTCTTTTTGATCTTTTTGTCGAAATCGTTTTTAATTCTTCTATATTTCTAGTTCGAAATCTTGTATGAGTCCTGTGTACTCTTTGATTCATGGCAACTAAGTTTTCTAATTTTAGAAAGAAAAGAACTCACCCTGATAATTCGTAGTAAAATAAGGCCAAATGAATCTAAAAAACGTTATTACAGTGTCGCGACTTCGAGAGAGTCTTTTATTTCTTTTTAATAGCTTCGCGGATAAAATGCTTTACTTTCAATTTCCCTGTGCAAACTTAATACGCATCTTTTCAAAGGGTTTTCGTCTAAACTTTACCACCTCAGAGTTCATTCAAGAAATACTGATTTGTTGAATAAATCACAAGTCGGGCGAAGTGTAGTAAACAGTTTTCATTTCCGTAGCGCAAATACTAATTGTGATGTAATCTTTTCATACAAGGAACTATCGCCTCAATAAAATTGATGTGTCATCCATTTATAATTCATGGAAATTCAACACGAAGCCAATGACATCTGGCTAACTAAGGAAATAAAATTACTCTTGTTATGTATTTCGCAAAACCGACCGACAAATTTCTTTGTTACCAAAACCGATCGTGTGCTAATTATTTTAACATAAAAAAACTAACAAATCAAATTCCAGCAATTGTTTCGATTCTACCAATAGAAATTTATGCTTTTCATAATACACTGCAAATATCAACATTTAAACTTTTCGGTACAATAAAAAACAACGGTTACTAAACACATCGTTTGCCACTGATAAAATCACGTAGCATTACAGTAATGCTGTAAATGAATTTCCGCTTTTAGAATTGCTTTGATTCCAAAGTGAAAAATTCGTGTATGTATTGTATGTATGTACGTTTGTATGTATGTAACTGTCTGATTTTGTATGTACAGCTATTGTGTTTATAAAAACAAGTAACCTATAATTATTATTATTGCTATTATTATTATTACTATTTTATTATATTAGAAATGTTTTTTTTTTTATGTTTTGATTCTTTTACTCATTAATATAAATATTATTTTTATTAATATAACCCTTATTATTTTAATCATTTCCATTAGGTGTTTACATAATGTTAGTAATATTACTATTAGTAAAAAACCTTGAAATGTAACCACCAACTATTTTAGAAATATATTGATTGATTGATTATGTATGTATGTATATATGTATTATTGAAAATGAAAAGTTGGTGTATGTATGTGTATATATATATGTATATAGTATGTATATATATATATATATATATATATATATATATATATATATATATATATATATATATATATATATATATATATATATATGTATATATATATATATATATATATATATATATATGTATATATATATATATATATATATATATATATATATATATATATATATATATGTATATATATATATATACAGTGGCGTGCTGGCTCTATAGGCTATGCGGGAATCTCGCTTAGGCCTATCACTATTTATCCTACAAGGGCCTTTTTTTTAAATTTTCATCAAGCATAATTAGAGAAATCTCGCCTTTTTGGAAAATGCCCGCATGGGCATTTTGGAGCCAGCACGCCCCTGTATATATATATATATATATATATATATATATATATATATATATATATATATATATATATATATATATATATATATATATATATATCCATATAGTAGCATGTTAGAGAACAGATTTTACATTAAAATGGATACTTACGAGGACATAGCAGTAACGGGGACATTTTAGTGTACTCGATAATTTTTTGTCCTCGTAAGTAGCTTTTTGTAAAAAAATGTCCCTGTACATAGTTTTTATGCAAAGCGAAAAGTACATACATCAACTGACAAATAGCCTGACTCGCAAGGGAGTGCTGCTACATCGACTGAGGGTTTGGTTTGGCCAGGCAGCAAGGTCAGGCTTTGGGTTAGGGTTAGAGTTAGGGTTAGGGTTAGTCATTTTAATGTAAATAATCGTTTTTGTAAATATATATATATATAAATATAAATTATAATAGATAATAATTAAATAAAAACAATAAAAAATAAATTTTTTTATGAAAAAAATAAATTTAAAAATGAATAAATAAAAATTGACATAAAATAAAAATATAAAAAAAAAAGAACATATATCAAAATAGTAAAAATAGAGAAATAAAAATTGCTATTAACTGGGGAAAAAAATATATACCCGTAAATCAAGCACTAGTAGTTATTTTATAGGGTGGGAAAGGGCCTTTTACTAGTGAGTTAAAGGCCCTTTCCCACCCCTCCCCCAACGTAATAACTGTCATCAGGGCTACAAAATTTTTAAAATTTCCATTAGGTATTACTAAACAAGAAAAAAAGGAGTCCTATATTTGAAAATGAACCTGGGCCATTAATTAAGGGGTGTGGGGTAGCCTAGTCATGGCTATGCACACACACAAATATATATATATATATATATATATATATATATATATATATATATATATATATATATATATATATATATTTAAACAGTAAAATGTTTCCTACTTATGAAGTATAGTAAGTTATATTTCTATAATTTATTATTTAAACTTTTTGTATTAGAGAAGCTATACATATATATACATATATATATATATATATATATATATATATATATATATATATATATATATATATATATATATATATATATATATATATATATATATATATATATATATATATAGATTTTTATTATATATTTACATATAGATTTTTTTACATATAGAACCTGTTTCATGTTGTTTTAAATATTTGATTAAATAAGTTTTTTTTTTCTTTTATTTTACTCTTTTTTATGAAATAGTTACTTTAATACAAGCTTGATAAGGCGTAATTTTTAGTAAAGAGTAATATTACTTGAACACTTTCACTTTACTGATTGTGTAACTTTACAAGGTTTATAAAAAAAATCACATTGCAGACACCTATATAAATAGTAAAAAAGTTATGCCTATGTTCACAATCTTAACTAAACAGTTAAGATTGTGAAAACGTGTTACTAAAAAAAGTCAAATTTTTCTTTATATATAATCATAAAATTTTTGAAACCATTTACAAATTAAAAGCTTAAAGAGTCTTAATAATTGTGATCCTACAATAATATCTTTACATAACAAATATATGAAATAAATTAGTTTTTATTATAGCTTTCTGATAACAACTTTACCTACCCTACCATAATTCTACCTACCTGATACATAACACTACCTACCCTACTATAACCATATCTACCTGATAATTACTCTGAAAAGTAAGGGCTAAAATTACTACTACTGCTTTAACTACTCTAATAGTAATACTAATACTATCACTACTACAACAAAAATTTTCATGGCCCATACCATGAAAATTTTGGGGGGCGAGGTTGTTTTTGAAAAAAAGTTTAGAAAAGCGAATAAAAATCTTGATCAATTTTTACAAAAAAATTTGCGAAAAAATATTTTGGTAAAAAATAGGGGGTCGATCGGATGACGATTGGATGTACTACTTTAACTACAACAGTTTCACAAACTTAATTAAAGTAACTATTATTGAACTAATATTTATAGTAATGTTTTTTTTTTTTAATACGGTTGATGTAGTTTATAAATAAGGAAACTATTTATAACTATGTCAGAGGCAAAATGGCGAACGGTTTGAAAATCTTTAGTTTCCATTATGGCCAATCATGGGTTTATTAAATTTTAAAAATTATTAAATGTTTCAGCTGATGTATCTTAAAATAAATGCGCGTTGCAAAAAACCATCTCTAAAACAGTACCATCCATAGCGTACCACCTATTAGCACTACCTGCGTTATTAATATTTTTCTTTAAACGTAAAAAATAAACTTTTGCGTATGAAATCACGTTACCAACATTTTGTAAAACTGATAACAATTTATAAAAGGGATATTTTAATTTAAAAAATGTAATAATTTTTTTTTTTAATTATATTATTGAGTTATTTTAGGAAAAATCATCTTGCTCCATTTTTTAACTTGCCCACTACTAAGCAATTCCACGTGCCTCTATGTTTTGCTTTTTTTGTTTGTTTTGTCGACGAAATGCAGTTGCTATGTTTTGTCGAGCAAATGAAGTTATATAATATCTATATTTTTAAATTTATATTATTTTGGTAAAAAAAAAATATACGTTCTTTAGGATAAATTTTTATTTTTTACTCTATTTTATGAGTTATTGTTAAAATAAAAGCTCGTCGCGGCGTGACAAATTGATATCATGTTGAGAGGCGCGTATTTTGAGCTATATCTAAAAAATATTATAATAAAGTTTATATATATATATATATATATATATATATATATATATATATATATATATATATATATATATATATATATATATATATATATATATATATATATATATATATATATATATAGATATATATACACACACATATATATATATATATATATATATATACACACACACACATATATATATATATATATATATATATATATATATATATATATATATATATATATATATATATATATATATATATAGATATATAGATATATAGATATATAGATATAGATATATAGATATAGATAAATACATACATACATACTTTTTGAACTTTTTGGAAAATATTAATCAGATTACTTTAATATTAATGTTTATAATAAATATTTATAGTATATATAAATTATTAGAGGATAAAAGTTTTAACCAGTGGATCGGTTAATACCTGTCACTTAACCTTATTGCAGTAAAACACAAACCTTCGATAGACAATTTTGTTATACACATAATAATCTCCCAAAATTTGTGGTACAACTGTAAGTCATTTTTTATGAAAGAAATCAGGCGAAGCAAAATAATTTAAATTTATTAATTTTAATATTATTTAATAATTTAATATAGATATATAGATATATAGATATATAGATATAGATATATAGATATAGATATATAGATATAGATAAATACATACATACATACTTTTTGAACTTTTTGGAAAATATTAATCAGATTACTTTAATATTAATGTTTATAATAAATATTTATAGTATATATAAATTATTAGAGGATAAAAGTTTTAACCAGTGGATCGGTTAATACCTGACACTTAACCTTATTGCAGTAAAACACAAACCTTCGATAGACAATTTTGTTATACACATAATAATCTCCCAAAATTTGTGGTACAACTGTAAGTCATTTTTTATGAAAGAAATCAGGCGAAGCAAAATAATTTAAATTTTATTTAAGTTTAAACCAATATTTAAGTTCATAACGACAGAATGTTTTTAAAAGTTTTTGAAAGTAAAGAGATTAGCTACTTTTAGCGGGAAACAATATTGCCGGTAACAAACTAAACTAGCTGGTAATAATTACGCTTTACTTTTAAGCTGGCAACAGGGCTTTCAAAGTTGTTTTAAAGCGTTTTATGTTAACGTGTTTTGAATTGACAACTTTAAAATTTATTGCGATTAGATTAAAAAAATTAAAGATAACTTCTTTAGCAATTTTGTAATGACTTGAGTTTTTTAACGTAAAACTTTATTGT